AAAAAACATGAAGACACTATTTTTGCCTATACTTGGCTTTAAAAAATTCTATATAATACTAAATAAAGAATACTTCACATTTGCTTTATCTTCATATTATAATATATTCCATTTGTTATATAGAAAAAATGATCTAAGTTTTTATTTTTTTCTTGAGTTTGACACATGTCATCCATTATAGGTCTGATATTTGTCTCGTAATTTCTTGTAACTAATATTACTGATTTGGAAAGGTAAACAGTATAGATTCTTTAGAAGGGATATGTCAGATTTCCACTTTTTGGTAAAAATTTTGAGAGAAAGATCCAATAGTGAAAGCAGAAAAGAAAACCAACTTAAAAAGGAGTTGTAAAAGTTATGCTATATAGAATATTATGTTAAAACAAGTAACTATTTAGGTCTAAGCTTTTATAGCACTTGACAAAGCTTCAGAGCTTATCTACTATTTCTTTGCTTAGTAGTACTTGTGTTTTATTAAGAGACTTCACTTACAAGAGTTTAAGTCTTTTTCAGCTCTTTTCAGTTACAACCAAGCATGTAATGAATAGCCTCTCTAGTTACTTCAAAGTAGAGTTTTGTTATATTTAAATATAATAACTATATAGTTTTCATAAGTCAGACTTTTGAAAAAAGTTGGTATGAGGGATCATCAGAAAGAGTTGTTATTTATCCTAATTTAATTTAAATTTAAGAAACTTTAATAATAATTATAATAAAACTTATATATAACTTTTTTATAAATTTATTTTTGAAGAATAATAATTCTAGTATAATAATTAAATTATTATCTTTCAAATTCAAAATTCAAATTTTACTAACAGTAAAATTTTAAAAAAATGATTTTATTCTAACAACTTGAACAGAGTATTTGAAGTTTTAATTTTATAATTCTGATTATACTAAAACTAACTTTGAAAATAAACAATATTATATAAATAAATTCAAAAAGTATATATTTTATAAGAAGCTCTATTTAGAAATTCTCAATAAAAAATAATATAATCTTTAACAATACTATTTATAAAAAACTTGATTTAAAAAAAAACCCTATAACAGATAATCTGTACAAGCAAGAATTCTTAGATAAAAAAAATTTACTAACCTAGCTACTGGTTAATCTAGATATAAAGTTATATTATATAAAGTTTATTAGATTAGTAATATAAAAAGACTTGCAAAAGTAGACAAAACATTAATAAGATTATAAAAAAGAATACTAAGATTGTATAAACTCTACAAAAATATAGCAGTTTTATGATTAACTTTAACTACAAATGTTGATCCTAACTATAATAATATTAGATCAGCTATAAGTTAAGATATTAAAAAATTCTAAAAATAATGCTTTAAGAATAAAATAGTTTTAAAAGTATAGATAAACATTTGTAACCTCTTAACTGACATATGTATCAGAAAGTGTTGCAATAATACAGAATAAAATTATATTATAAAAGGTTTAAATAAGCAATATCTGTAGTTAGATTACAGAAATAACATTTAGTATAAAACCTATAATATAAGCAAACTACTTAAATTAAACATCAAAAGTGTGTATGTTTCTCTAATGTAATGAGATTCTTTGACATTATTGTTTTAATGCTAAACAAAAACTTTCTAGTCCTAAGAAGGCTAAGTTTAAAAATAAAAATAAATTTACTTTTTATATTTTTTAATATTTTTTCAAAATTTCAATCAAATTATAAATAAAAATACTAATATTTTATATAGCAACTTATAGTTAAACTCATTTACACAATCTATAGTTTTACCTTTTAATATATCAAATTTTACAAACTCAATCTCTTTATCTGTTATACCATCTACAACACACATTTTTTTGTATTATAATTACATTTTACTTTAAAAATCTACTTAAACAAATCTATTCTTTTTAATTTACAAGATTCGATTCTTTTTAATTAATAAAAAAAGGCTTACTTTTTTGATAATATAACCCTTTGGCCCTAATCAAAAAGTGGGTCTTTTTTTATAAATCAAAAATAATAGGCTATAAATCAAAAAAATGCAATGGTTATAAAATAGATAAATATATTTTTGTACTTATGCGAGACAGATAAATTGTACTTATAAGATTGTAGTAATAGTGACCTAAATATCGAATTTGGGGTCTACCTTTGATAAGTTTGTCAACATGGTTTCATCATAAAATTAATCAAAAACACTGTATTTTTTGTACTTATGTGAGGCAGATACCTTTATAGAATTGTAGTACGTAACAGTGACCTAAGTATCGAATTTAGGGTTTACCTTTGAAAAGGTGACCTAAGTATCGAATTTAGGGTCTATCTTTGAAAAGTTTTGTCAACATGGTTTCATCATAAAAATCAATCAATGAAACGCTCTTTCAATTCACAATAAAATTTATTGCTAAGATACGTTAAGAACGCTTTTTTTATCATGTACCATTGAAGGATTCTGAAATAAAAGAATCTTTTCATGTAGCGGTAATAAAATAAATTCAATCAAAAATTGGTTTTCATAAATCGGAATTTTTTTCTTTGACGTAAAAGTTACAAATTATATAAAATATATATTTATGATAATTTCTTTAAAAACAGCTTATGTATTTTTTTTATATTTTATATTTTTATATTTTTTTTGACATTTATTGTAAAATTGTTTTTTTGAAGTTTTTCTCGCGATAAAATTTACAATTATTCGATGTCTCGAATTAAGATGGATGACAAAAAATTTCTAATTACTATTGTGAATTCACAAATGACAACATTCGATTCTTAAAATTCCAATTAAATGACACATAATTACAAATTGCATGTTAAAATAATTACAAAGAAATTAAAATGCAAGTAATGTCGTCATATACTTGACTAAAATCCTTAAATAACGTGGTATATTTCTCCCGACTACCTATTTTTTTAACAACATTCATGACAGATTCTCCATTGTCCAATAAGCCGCCAATAAATTTAGCGACTTCATTGTTCTGTTCATCTATCCTTGATTCTTTTAAATGGTCAAAAAGACCATCGCTGCTTATCAATAAGAATCTATCACCACCATATTTACCTAACTTTCTAAAAGTAACATCTGGAACACAATCAATAACTCTTCTGGAACGATTTAATTTGAAGAGTAAATCACCACAGGTCGCAGCAACATTAATCGACCAATATTTTCCAGTTTCATTTATGTAGGGAACACCATCTTCATTTTCATCTTCTTGCCCTTTGAGTCTAATACGCGCGTTCTTTAAACTTGGTCTAGTGCGACGTTGTCTAGGGGTGGGATCAAACTTAATTGGATCATCATTACTATCAACAAATATGCCACCATTTGAATATATTTTCAAGGCAAGGCGTTCAAGGTAAGGTTTATGATCTTCACTCGCGAATTCTACAGACCATTTATTGTTTTTGCCTCGACACGCAAGAAAGGTTCGTGAATCACCAACGTTAACATTGATTAACCAATCATTAATAAACATATTAATAATGATAGTTGATCCGTCATCTACTGGTGGTATTGAATCAGAATCACTTTGATCATTTATAATAAACCTTTCATCTTCTACAAATGGTATTGAATTAGAATCGTCTTGTTTTTCTCTCTGATATTTCCAGCGACGAAATTCTACACGCTTAGCCTCAACGTATTCGTCATCCAATTGCCTGACGAGATGTTCCATTTGTTCTCTAAACCATTGTTGTTCATCTTTGTTATCAAAATTTACCGGATGGTCTTGTAGCAGTTCTTGGATACGATGTGGCATTCTTGAAATTAAAAATTCCGAGCATCCAGAGCCTCCATGTCCATCCGCCAAACAAAATAATCGTGCCATAAAGGATCCATCAGATCGTCTTAGATCTTTTACGCAAAATGCATCTTCGCATTTTGACTTTGGATATCTATGTTCACTGCGTCTAAGTCGACTAAGTCGAGGGTAAGAATAACCTGTTTCTTGAATAATTGCAAACGATTTTGGTCCATTAACTGTATTTATATCGAAGTCTATTGGTCCTTTTGTTATCATGAGTGATGATGACGACGACGACGACGATGACGACGACGACGACGACGATGATGATGATGATGAGGAACTGGTAACATCGACCCTGTAATTATTTAAAGACATTATATTTAAAATTCATATTAAAAAAAAAAAAGAAGACAGATTCAAATCATACTCATTAGTCTCATTAGTCTCATTAATCATTGGTTCTTCTTCTTCTTCTTCTATTACGCTTTCCGGTGTACCGTAATCTTCAGAAGGTTGGTATTTTGTACTTGTACTCTTTTTTTTTAAACTTGGTTCTATTAAAAATTGGGAATCATGTTCATTATCTGTCAAATTTATAATAGGAGACGTATTATGGCTAATTTTTATTTTCTTTGTTGTAATAACATTAACATCAGAATCAATGGTGATTCTTTTCGTCGTACCCCGACTTGATGTTGTGGGACGAGATGGTTTCGTAGGAGATCGTTTCTTATCTTTTGCTAAACGAGGGGGATCAGGAGGAGGAGTTGGAGGTATGGTATTCATCGAGTCTCGGATTCGGGAATCCGTAAATAAATGCAAAGAGAGGCGGTAGTAAGTTAAATTCTTGATTTGATGTTTTTCGATTGGTTCCTCACAACCTCTCGATTTCGCAAGTTTCAACGCTGTAGAAATAGTGCCTTGGATTGTGGAAGTAGGAGTTTTCCCACTGTTTTTCAGCAGAAATTAGCGATTCTCGGGTCGAATAAAAAGAAAATGATATGCTTTCGTGCCATGAATTCGACGGCTTTACGTACCTAAGTTGGCCGTCGTTGGTAGTAAGTTTCCATCCTCGAATGCGATCTATTATATTTTATTAAGTTTTTGCAAGTGGCACCACGCGACATTTCTAAACCAATTTGGCTGCCACATGATCAAGCTTACCGACAATGTCTGGAGCTCTCATCCATTGATTACTGTTTGATAGCAAGGCCTTGACTATAGCAGCGAATATACCATTATCGCGCTGTTCTGCTTTAAGTTCAAGTCCTTGAAAAGTTCTTTCGACAGACGCTATATCTGGGGTTTGTATGTCGTGCATGCCGTTTGTTAAGAAGTGTGAAGAAATGGAAAATATTAAGTATTTACGATATTTATAGAGATGTTACCGATAACAATCACGTGCTTAGTTATTCCTCGCACAATGACCCTAGCGTCGCATATAGGAGGTCATAGGAAGACATTCGCATGATTGTAGATCTACCCGTGCTTTCCCGTGATAATTAACCAATCAAAATACATAATTTTAATTAATATTACAATACTGAAAACGAAAAAAAACTTCGTATAAAGAAGCTTACAGACGATAAATATATGCAAAAAAAGGGTATTATTTATATTTAGAGAAAAGATAGATGCGTGTAAAGTGGGTAAATGTGATATTCATTGTTAATAAACCCAACTCATTACATTAAAGAATCGATAAAATATAACCCAAAACCTTGACTATTAATTTACGGTTGACAAACCCAAACAAACTACAATAACCGATCAAATTTAATCTTAAGCCCGGATCATTTACTACTAAAGAGCTTGCACCTACACAAATTAACAGTTATATAGTAATAAATGTTCATTTAAATCCAACATAATAAAATAGTTTTAGACGAAAACGTTTCCAGTTACCTTTCACTATACAGATTATTTGGTCTGGTCCAATAAACGGTAGGCATATATTGTCTTCTAAGTGAAGTTCATGAAGATACTGATTATTACTGATTATTTTTGCATAGTAAAATATAGACGTTCTATCAAAGTGAAAAATGGGTTTTGCGATGATTTTTTATTGGTGAAACGTTGTGTTCCCAAAAAGTACTTTAAAGTATATAAATAAGTTACCCGGTCAATTGATTTACATCAGCCAATCAGATGAATGTCCTCCATGTCATAGGCAGAAATTCGTCTGATTGGCTGGTGTAAACCAATTGCCCGGGTAACTTATTTATACACTTTAAAGCACTTTTTGAACGTAAGCAAGAAATCGGCACAATCAAAAAAGAACTAGAAAGCTAACTCTAAAATTAATTTTTTACAATCTTATTCACAAAAAAGTTAACTTAGACACGACTTTCTGAAAGAGGTACAGAAAAAAGCTACGTTTGAATTGTAAAATGCACAAAAACAATAGTTATTAACAGAACAGTTGTTTCTTTTTTTTAGAGATTGAGATTTCTGGTTAGGTGGTTGAAGCAAGACAATGTGAAAGATTTAGGTTTTATATTTAATATATAGATTCTTAAGTTAGCTTAGTTTGTCAAAGCGTACTTAGATCTAATAGATCAATTTAGGCTTATAGATAGTAGGTTTAGTGCTTCGGGTTTTGTTTAATAGCGAACACCACTTTTTGGCCTACTTTATATTCGTCTATCTATCTTTTATACGTATATAATCCAATAAACCATGTGTATTTATCGATTTATATGAAGTTTTTTCTTTAAGTTTTCGAATTGCAAATTGTGTGATTTGATTGGCTAATAATCACATGTAGATCTACAAATTGATCTACGAGGCTAGCATGAAATTAAAACCTAAACCGGCCCAGCCTAATTAACCACGAGGGAACCTGACGCAGCTTTTGTGTAATCATGTGTTTTATTTATTATCAAAAAATATATATATATAACGATAACAGATTCTTATTATTACGTATAAAAGATTTATTACTCTTGAATTTTATTTAAAACTTTCGATGAGTACCATTTCAACTCATAAAGACCGTAACTTTATAGCTGTTATAGGAGATGAGGTAATCATTTAATTCACATCGATTTTTAATATTTTAAGATACTTTTTAACCTATTTCATGTAATAGGATTCAGTCACTGGACTTTTATTAGCTGGTGTTGGTCATGTAGACGGTGCTAATAAAAACTTTCTCGTTGTTGACTCTAGTAAAGATATATTTATAACTTAATGCTTTAATATTTTACAAATACCACCAAGTAACATTTAATTTTTGTGTGTAGAAACTCCTTTATCAAAGATAGAAGAAACCTTTCTCGAATTTACTAAAAGAAAGGACATTGCTATAATTCTAATAAATCAACATGTCCGTTTCATTTTATCATTTCATCTTTTTTAGATAATTTTAAAATAATGACACAATCTTTGATTGTATTGATAGATTGCAGAATATATTCGTCAATTGGTAGATGATTATGACCAGGCTTTTCCGACAATTCTTGAAATTCCATCTAAAGATCACCCTTACGGTATTTATTTTACGTAATACAAAAAGTGTTTTATTATTTTTATTTGGTGTTACAACTAATTTTAAATTGAACTACTCAGACCCGGAGAAAGATAGTGTTTTAAAACGAGTACAACGTCTTTTTGGAGAATAAATAAAAAATTATATTGTGGACTATGAATATATTTATTATATATATATATATATACCATGTTTTTATGTCTGTATCTTAATATTCGACTTTATATTTCACTCTTATGCATTTGTTTGGATTAAATTATTCTCATAATTAGTTGTTATTATTATATTGTCTATTCATGAGTTCAATTTTTTTTGTTTTACCAAATTCATAGTAACATGTACTTTTTTTTCATAAATACAAGTATTATGAATTGTTTTTATTCCATAGGAATACCTTCATATTCATTATACCCGAGGGCAAGGTTAATATTCTGAATTATAAAAAGTCAAGTTAATTTTACAAAGACATGAAAACAATAAAAAATTCAAGATAATTTTATTTCAACAAACCTGTAAAGCTTGAGTAGCAGCACCTTTCAATAAGTTATCAATAGTTGTTATGATTACAACTCTTTTGCCTGATGAATGTACACCGAATCCACCAATTTTCACAATATGTTTTTTAGAAATATCTTTTACAAGTGGTACATCATCTACAACTTTGATGAGTTTTTCATCAGCATATTTTTGTTCGTATAATTCGCGTATTTCCGCAGATCTGAACGTTTTTGAGAGGGGAATATTGACAGTCAAGGTTATTCCTTGGAAGAAAGGTGCGACATGTGGGATGAAATTTACGGCTCTTCCTAAATGGTATGAAATTTCTCGCTCATGAATATGATCTGTAAGAGAATATGGTATCATATTGTTTTCGAGAAATTTAGGATCATTTTTAGGAGACGGTTTGGTTCCAGCACCAGAATACCCAGATACACCAAAAATGGTAGGAGTTTCGGATATGTATGGTAACAATGGTGCTATGGAAAGTTGAGATCCAGTGGCATAACATCCAGGATTTGATATTTTTGTAGAATTACGAAAGGATTCACGATCACCAAGTTCTATATAAAATTATTAAAGTTTATAATTAATAAATTAATAAATGATTTAGAAATAAATAAGAAAATCTTCTATTTCTTACCGGGTAAACCGTATGTCCATTCATCGTTGAATCTATGATCTGCGCTTAAATCTACAATTAAACTTTTGTTGGTTTGACCCTCATTAACAGCTTGTACAAATGGTGTACATATACCATTTGGCAAAGCCATGACCCAACAATCAACTTCACCATTTTTTTGCATATCTTTAATCTGTTCCGTATTCAAGTTTACATATTTGATCTTTTCTTTTGAATAACCAGAGAGTTCTTGGCCTTCCAATTCACGAGAAGACACGTGAGATAATGAAATATGTGGATGATTGTTTAACAATGATACAAAGTTTTGGCCAGTGTATCCACGTGCACCAATAAGTGCAACTTTTGATGGAGATGTAAGGGTAGCATATTGACGACGTGATAGATTTGACATTGAAAATGCATTATTATGTTGATTATGTCGAGCAAAAGTGGAAAACGTTCTGGAGGCATTAGCGAATGCACGACCTGAAGATGGAGTTGTATTCGTTTCGAATAGCGTAGCAGCAAAATCTTTAACCGCGGCGGAAACATCATTGACATTTATACCATACCAAAACAAAGTTTTTCCATTTATTGTATAACTACCATCTGATCTTGAAAAGTGCCAAGCCTTATTTTCATCATGATCATCGACAGCCCAAAGTAATCGAGGATTATCATTTTGGATAATTTGCCATATATTATCAATTATATTACTTAATATGCTATTTTCTGTAGCAATGAATTTCTCGAGAAGAGGAATAGAATTTGGATTAGATTTGTCTTGGGTAACAACTGCCAAGACATCATAAGGTTCGTCACTGTAGACTTTATAAGATTTTTTTGAAATTTTTGACATAAAATCGGAATTTGGGCTTGTTTGCAAGATCTTTTGTAATTTATTTTTATCCATTTCGTCAAATGAGTTGTACTTAAAGAGACGATAACCACGACGAATTAAAGTACCAGCACCACTATCTGTAAAGAGCTCCTTCGGGAGCTGTCCTACGGCTGTAATAGCTACAGATGATGATCGAGGAAGATGATCAAGAAGATCTTTAATCTCTATCAATTTCAAACGCGTTCCATATTTGACCCATGGTTGTGCCATATAATGATCATATTCCTAAAAGAATATTTCATAAAATCATGAGAAAATATATATATCCATAATAATAAAAGATTTAAAAATATGAGAAATACCTCATCAAGATTTATGACATCGATTTTTTTCTTAGTTTCTTCATTTATAAGACCACCTTTTTCATTAAGGTAAATAATTTTTAAAGGTTCGAGAACTTTTGCCAATTCACCAGCAGCTACATCAGCATTTACATTCAATATTTGACCAGAAGGAGTTTCTGCTAAGCTCGTCAAGATAGGTAATGCACCTGCGTTGATACTAGCATTTACAACATTTTTATTTATTCCAGTAATTTGTCCAACATACCCGTAACTTTCTCTATCCAAATAATCAGCGATGAATACACCACCTGTTATAGGTCGTGCACGAGTTCCCAATTTTTCTAATGCTTCAACCAATTTAAGATTTTCTTTGATAAATATAGATCTTGCGATTTCAAGGGTTTTTGCATCAGTTATTCTAATACCATCTTTATAATCAGGTTTTATACCAGCCTTTGATAATTCTATATTAAGTTGAGGACCACCTCCGTGTAATACAATTGGATATAAGCCAACACGGTTTAGAAATGAAAGTGAAGAAGCGAGAGAATCTATTTCATCACTAATAACAGCACCACCAACTTTTATTACAGCAAATTTTTGAGATTCAACCGAAGAAAATTGGCGTAGATACTGTTCCGCTTCTTTCTTTGAGCCAATATTATATAAAAGTTTTATAATTGTTTCCTAAAAAAAAAAAATACATATATATTTATTTATTTATATCTTAAAACTCTTGAAATTCTTGAAACTCTTGAAAAATAAGATATAAAGTTATCAAACCTTTTCATTTTTTTGTACGTCAAGAGAATATAAACGACTTTGTGATTTTGTAAGTTTTACAAGAGATTTTTTTTGTAGTTGTAAAGAAGACAAAAAACTCAAACGTCTTGCATTAAACAAAACAGATTTCGATAGTACAGATTTACCAACTTTTGATATTATCATTATTAAACAATTTTTTTAATGATAAAAAATTTAAAATGAAATATGAGAGAAAATGGGATAATTTTATACATAATAAGTTTACTTTGTTTATAAAAGAGATTGATAACGGTAAAATATAAGGCAAATAAAGTAATTTATAATATAGATAATGAAGTATCAACAAGTAATTAAAGATATAGATATTTATGTAATGTTTACACAGTACATGCAGTATTAAAGATCTTGATTTAAGATAATCATGCAGGAATTTGATCAAGAACGTTTAGTTTTAGTCTTTTTTTTTTGTGGAACAGTCACATTGGAATCATCAATCGCTCTGATATTTTTCTTGTCCTTTTCCATTTGTTCCAATGAATTTGAATTTGTAATTTCAATTATATCATGACTTTTTACAAAATTTTTTGGAATATTTGCATCGGCCAATGACTGTTTACCAACAAGAGTGTATAAAAGAGCAATTTCCTTTTGGTAAATTTCAAGATCATCATCAGGCACAGGAGTCTCTAGAATTAAAGGTATTTCATCCATACGACTATCATTCATAATTAATCTAAAAGGTTCCAAACCCAAGTAACCTTTGAATTTTTAAAAATTTTGATTAACTGTTAATTATTTTTATTTTAAATATATAATTCGAAAATTCTTAAAAATACTATTACCTTTACCGATGTTTGCATGGCGATCGACACGGGAACCTAATTCTTTGAGAGAATCATTCAAATGCATTCCTCGTAAATATTGGAAGCCTACATGGCGAGAAAATTCAGACATAGTTTCTTCATATCTTTCCTTTGTACGAAGATCATAACCCTAATTTGAAATAAATTTGATAATAAACATTTGTGAAAACATTTATATGTAAAAATATATATTTGTAAACATTTGAGATAAGCAATAATTACGCAATACTTACCGCAGCAAATGTATGGCATGTATCAATACACACACCAACACGTTTTTTATCTTAAAAAACGTAAAGGTTATTATAAAGAAAGTTATTCAGGAATGTTTATAGAAGAAATGGCTAATTGCATTGATACAAACTTTTGACCAGTGAAATTATTTCACCAAGTTCTTCAAATTTTGATCCAACAGAATTTCCAGCACCTGCCTGTGGTATTATATATATCATTTAATTTTAGAATAATAATAAAAAAATTGATAAGATTAATCAAATTGGTCTACCATATTTTCAACCACACAAATGACACTTTTCGTCTCTTTATGGGCTCTATTAATACAATCAGCAATATGTTGTATAGATTCTTCTGGCGTACATTGTCCAACAGTTGAACCTGGACTTTATATATAATCAACTAAAAGTTATAACATGAACACTAAACGCGTAAATTTCAAAATTTAATATACTCACTGAAAATTGTACAAAGTGAGACCCAAAATTTCACATCTTTTCAAATCTTCAAGAAAAGCTTTATAACTTTTTTCTCGCTTTTCTTGATCAGGATTACCCAGATTGATCAGATAACTTCCATGAGGTAGCACAGAACCAGATGGATACATATTCTCTTCACAACCTTCACGAAACATGGAGACGTGTTCAGGATTAAGAGGTTGAGCATCCCATCTACGTTGATTTCGTAAGAAAATGGCAAATGCATTTGCGCTTTAAGAGATCAAAAATGATTAAAAAAAAATCAATTATTTGTGATTTAATCATCAATTCGTAAATTCGTAAGAAAGCCTACCCAATAATTAAACTATACTTTATAGCATTATGAATTCCTCCAGAAACACTAACGTGGGCACCAACCAATTTCTTTGTAGCTGAAAACCTTTGCGCGTAGATTATTTCGTGTTTTTCTTTACGCGGATTTTTTTTTTGTTTTTGATTCTTCGTATCTTTGCTTTTATTATTTTTACGTTTATTATCAACCTTATAAATAACCTCGTTTTCTTGCTTTAAAGGTTCCTTTACAGTTTCAATAGAAAGGTCATGGTCTTTTGCTTTTCCTTTGCTCACTTGTTTCACGCTTTGATCTGAAGCCTTTTTAGTGAGCTTTTTGACAGTTATTGGTTTTGTTTCCCCAGACTTTAAAAGGGAAGATACGCGTGCAGAACGAAGTACATATGACATTGAGCGGATATTTTAGTCCTTCGTGAGAATATTTTGAATATTTTATTTTATAAATATCGTGATACATATATATATCTCAAATGCTATCGCGTGACTAATAAATATGTAGATGTTCATAATTTTTTTTTTCTACCGCTCATTACGATTAGCAGATATGCTTCCTGAGAATTTACAAATAACAGTATTCCCTACAAAATCACTAATCAAATATCAAGAATCCATTATTCATCAAATAGAGACGATGGAACGTAAAACGTTTCCTAAAAATGAGATTATGACAATTAAAGAAGAAATTGCAAAAAAAACCAATACATTGCTAATTGCATATTATGTATCTACAGAAAATGAAAAGCAGAATTTCGAAAATAAATCTAATAAAGAAAAAAAAAAAGAAATATCTGAAGCTAAGAATGATCTTTCCAAAAAACATAAAGTTATAAAAATCTTGGGATATCTCATATATTCGCATATTTCATTATCTATTTCACCGGTAACAAGAATACTAAAATTGTGCATACATCCATTATCGAGAAGGAATGGGTTGGGAAGAATGTTGTTGGAATGCACAATTAAAAAAACGAGTGTACCTCAAAAATGTAGAGCAGAATTATATGTAGATACTGAAAGGTTGAACGCTATTAAACTATATCAAAAGGTAGGGTTTAAAATCAAAAATAAAGTAAAAGACTATTACGAAACCGGAAGAGACGCATGGCTTATGGAACTATCATAAAATTCTGACTGCTCATTAGTTATAATTAGATATATAGATAGTTTTATTATGCCTTCTTATTGATTTGGCAAAAGATAACTTTATTTATATATATATATATATATAAGAGACTGTAACATAATTCTAATAAAATGGCCTTATAATTTATAATGTATGGTGAAGATTATTCTTGTGTATTATTATATGTTGTAAATAATTTGGAATTACAACTTGGCTTTGGGCTTTGTTAAAGTCTTTAATACGCCGTCCAATTTAGTGGCCAACATCATATTGCCTTTGATCGTGAGTTTTCTCGTCAAGAAAGCTTTTTGACCTAAATAAAATATGGAATATAAAATGGAATAAGTAATTATGATTTATGAAATATCTCAGTATTCTAGTAGAATGTCATTACGGCGCATTTGTGTAATGAGTAGGGAATTGATATTTCCACACCCTTTTTTGATATTGCCACACCCCTGCTAACTCTAAACCTACCAAACCCCTAATAATCTATATTGATGTTTATTAACAGGGGTGGCAATATCAAAAAGGGTGTGGAAATATCAATTTCCTCTGAGGATTGACTAGACTATAAAGTGCGTCATTTACTAAAGTCATACCGTGAAAAATGCGTCCGTAATGTTAAGTAGAAAATTACTAATTTTACCATTTAATTTTCCTGAAGCTATTTGTACAAAACTTTCGTCATCCATAGTCATAGTGATATCGGGTTTAGGATGTTTTCCCTCTTTAATAGAGCCTTCTTTTTTCAAATCCAAGGTCCAAATCTGTTCTTTTCCTTCTGAATTCTTTATATTGAATTGAAATATGGAATTTACCTAAAGTAATATTTTTGAGTTGAGTACTCAAAAATTGGAACAAATATTGTAAATATAAAATTGTCAAATTTTTATAAACCTTTTTAATAGTTTCTGCCTTGAGTTTTTCATCAGAGATACTGGTTTTTATCTCGTCAAATACAGCAGAAGATTTGAACCCTTCAATTGCCATTTGTTTTTTTTAAAAAAAATTGTAAAGTAATCAATCACAAATCGATTTCACACTATACAATTTAAGTTTACGTATAGTGTAACCTGGTCACAGTTTTAATTTCGTAACTAATCAGGATTATGATGATATTTTTATGATTTATCTATCAGATAATTTTATCTTTTAGATATATCTTCAAAGATTTTTTTTCTATCAATATTGTGCATATGTATTTATATTGTGATTTGCCTAAGTGGGATGAGAAATAGCGGACATATGCGTCATTTCAATAATCTGAATAATCTGATCTTATAATGCACATGAACGTACCGAACGTACCATTTAACCTACAACAATATCAGACAGAATGAATGACGAGAAACAGTTTTCACATAGCGATAGGGAAATCTACCGACACAGCATACACGTGATTTTGTGCACAGCAAAATGGCCAGCATTAAACTAATCGGCCGGCATTAGAATTAGGATTGAGTCAAATGATTGATGCATCCAAATTTTATAAGTAAAATTTGTACAAAATTTGCTATCTGGGGTTATTTAACTAAAAAGAAGCTGTCAGTTTAATTTCTGGGTATAAGTTCATAAATTCTTTAACATTATAAGGTTCATTCTGAGAAATTTCAAGAATGGTTAAAAATAAATCTTTAAATAATTTAGTTCACAAAGTTGGTCAATTTTTTTACAATTTTTATTGTTTATTTATAAGTGATGCAAATAATTGATGTACAGTTATCAGCAAAAGTAATGCCTGATTTTGATCTCATGACCAATGCTCAAATAAATATGTATTGCTTACCTTCTTATGGCAATTTGTGAAGCAAAATTTTTTTTTCACTTTCTTTAACTTCTCACAAAGTACTTGCAAGAAAAATCTAAATATAATAAGCATGATTGGTATTTCAATGACAAACAAAAACAAAGAAGAAATTTTGGCTTATATTGAATATATAAGCATCCAGCAAGTTGTACAAAAAATAGAACATAACCCTATTACAATTCAAAAGTTTCTCATCAAGTACTAAAGAACCAAGAATATATCAAATTTGTCAAGTTCTAGAAGATTCTATGTTCTCAATAATTAAAAAAAAATGTTTTAGTCAAAGCAGTTCTGAAAAAAAGATGTAAGTCTTTGTATAATCTAATTAATGATTTAAAGCTTAAATGCAGTTTAAGAACTGCTTCTTAAGTTCTGCAAAGTTTTAGTGTTTGGTCTTATATAGCAACAAAAAAACTATTCTTTAAGAAATATAATATAAAAGAATAGTTTGAATAATATCAACAAAACATATTAAAAAATATCTATAATTAGTGACATGCAATTTTTTCTAACAAAATATTTGTCAAACTTTGTAAACAATCATGTCAAATTAGAGTATAGTGTCTCAAAGTTAAAAGACACAAAAATGAGTACTTAATTCTAAGTTTTAAGAATGATAGGCAGTTAGTAATAGTGTGGGGTAGTTTGTTGATAAGATCAAGGATCCTCTTGTTTTTTTTGATAAGTATAAACATCCTAAAGAAAATATTAATAAAAAAATATATATTAAACTTTTAGAAGATTATTTATCATTGTTTTATGAAAGGGCTAAAGTATCTTGTTTATTAGTAAGTGCAAAAATAATGTTTTAGCAAGAAAATATACTGATATATAAAGTATCCAATTAACTTAAAGACAAAAAAATCTCTAAATGAACTGGCTTTCAAGATCTTCTGACCTTAATCCAATCAAAAATATTTGAAAACTATTAAAGAATAATATTCAAAATCAAGAAGACTTTTCAAGAAAAATAAATGATCTTAAAAATATCCTAAAAAAAAAGTAGTCAAAATTAGATATATCAGTTTTTTTGAAGTCTGTAGACTCAGTTTTAGAAAAAATCGAAGCAGTATTGAAAGCAAAAGAAGGGCATTGCAAATATAATTAACTAGGAAAAAATATATATATAGTATATTGTAAAAATAAAAAAAATTATGTATTTGATTTTAATTTCGTTTAATAAAAAAATAAGCATTACTTTTGTTAATGACTGTACATTACCTGCATCATTTATAAACAAATAATAAAAATTAAAAAAATTAGCCAACTTTGTAAATTAGATTATTTAAAGATTTATTTTTAATTACTCTTAAAATTTTACAGAAAGAACCTTATAATGTTAGAGAATTTATAAACTTATATCTGAAAATTAAACTAATAGTTTCTTTTTGGTTAAATAATTCTAGAAAGCAAATTTTGTACAAATTTTACTTATAAAATTTGGATATGTAAATTATTTGATCTATAATTAAAAATTTTACATGTGACAAAACATATAACTAATAAATTACATTTATGTTATATTTAAATTACATTTTAAATTTCAAAATTACAATGTAACTTTATATTTATTAGTATACTAATATGTGATTAGTTTACTAGCATTATAGAAACTTGATCAGATCTTTATTATTCACAAAATAATAACTTGTATATTATTTTTATAAGTATATTAAAATTTAAAACAATTTCTAATGTTTTAATTTTGTATTATAACATTAAAACAAAAAATATTTATAGTTATATTTTTACTTACTATCAAATTCATATTCATTGTCATCAAATATATTTAGAAGTCTATTAGTAAAATTATTTTCAAACATTTCATTGTTTTTCAATAATAGTTCTTAATTATTTAAGCAAATATCATTTGTATTATTATTAATTGTAACTATAATCTTGCAAGTCCTAATTGATGAAGAATTTATATATTTCAGTATATGTAAACAAGTTTTTCTATTTTTTTAATAAGTATCTAATTATATAATTTTGAATAAATATATTTATAAACTGATTAATTATACTTATTAGCTGCTGAAGTTATTAGAATTAACAAGATTTTTTAAGCAACTTGGCTTAATATTTTTTTTATTTTTATTTTTTTTTGTTAAAGACCATACTTTGTGATAATACTTTATTAACTTTATTAAGTTAACTATTACAACTATGTTTACAAAGATAAGAATACAACTAGTTATGCATATAACTTTTAGTTGTCTATTTAAGTAGTCCATCCTAAGGTTCTATACTAGATGCTATACCTATAACCTACTAGAAGATTATTTATTTAAACTTTCTGATTATTTATCCTGTCATGATGTAATTCCAACTAACCCCTCATATATACCTAACTGGTATACCATCTGAGCAGTATAGTACCTACTTTTTTTGTATTAGTTTTCAGATCATTACATATTTCAGAGTATATTATCTGCCAGTAAAGTGCAGAGAGCTCTCTATTGTTAACTATTTATATATTTTTAGAATACTAACAAGAGCTACTTTTACAAAGTTCATCCAGATTTCAGTACTAACTTCACAACATATCTCTAGTACTTTTAGTATAACCTTGCTTTGATCTTAGACTCCTAATCCAGATAGTCTAAAAGAACTATGACCTGTCCTTAATATATTGAGATTAGTCTAATATCCTTTTTTCTTGTTCGAAATCTGGCAGCCTAGTTGGTGGTACCTTTCATCCAAGGTTCTTGCCTGCTTAATTCTTTCATATTGGTATCTATTTCCTAGATTTAGTCTTTACAATAGTATTATCGAAGATCTATGTTATCTTTTTGCTTAGAATTTCCAAGTGAGCTTCAGCTTACTAGTTCTACAGATTTATACTGACCAAGAACTTATTTTAGGTTTGCACCACCCAGTACCAGTTTGCATATTTCTGTGTAACCAAGGTTATACAGATGCTCCAAACCTGCTAGTCATGCTGATGTGACTATAGTTACAAATATTCTATCTTAACTAATCAACAAAATACTATCACTATAATATTATCTATATATTACATAAGTGATTATCCAAATTTCGATGTCAGTAAGTTTTGAACTCACAACCTACCATTTGGAGATATGACAACTTATTTACTTTACTAAGTCATTACACCTATTGGCTTAATATTGAATATTGCATACTCAATAAATTTTACTAATTTAATAGGTTTAAAGTAAAATCTTCTTATAGATACTTTTTTGCAAAATCATAATATATTCTGCAAATTTATTTAATACTTAATTTTTGTTATTATTACCTACAATTCAAATTATTTTATTATTTATTTGATTTGGCTAAATATTATAATTAAGATTTTTATCTCTATATCTTGGATCCAAAGTATAAGCAACTATAACTACAAAATTATATAAAAAATTAATTCATCAGTTTTAGGCTGCTTGCAAAGAATCTTCATATAATTTATTTGAAACTTGTAAATTATTTATAATTTTATTTTTTAAATCTTGTAGTATTTTATATATTGATAAAAGATATGGTTTGTTACTTTCTAACTGATATATAAAAATAATAAATGATTTTAAAAAATTATAAAGATTTTTAAGTTCTGTCTAAAATGTTTAATTTACAATTATTATTTTAATATTTTTGTTTATTTTATTGCTATTTTTAATTAATAAAGTATATATTACAGTTTGAGTTTATAGAATATGATCAAAGCATTCAAAAACCAATGTTTATCTAATCTTAACAATTAATATAAATGCAACTTTAATATTATATATTTCTTTTTATAAACAATAAAAAATTACCAAAGAAATTTGATAATTATGCTTTTTATTTTTAAAAATGTCTTTAACCCAAAGATTAATTTTATGTATCTAATATTCTAAAAATTTTATCTTTTTTTTTTTTTTTTTTTGCTCTTAAGCAGCCACACTAGTACTTTATTAAGATTCTTGCAACTATATACAATAACT